ATAAGACTCATTTCAGGCTACTGGCCTCCAGAACTGTAAGGCAAAAAAAGAAATAGAAATTGACATAAGGTAAGACATCAAATCTGTGCTGTTTTAAGCCACCAAGTTAATAGTAATGTGTTGTAGCAGCCATCGCACATTAATGCACCCAGTTTGCAGATCTCAGGGGTACTGGAGACTACTGTATCTGGCTGTATCCAGCTCTTTGCCGGGAAAATGAGGTTCCCACCACCTGAGACCATAGTATTGTGAGAATTGCCTAAAGCACCTTGTCCAGGTCATCGTTCAATAAACGTTTGTGCCGTGTTGCTCTCTAGATTTCTCCCTTCTACCTTTCTCTCCACACTCAATCTGTAGTTGCGATGTAATAGAAAACATCCTAGAAAAGACAACTTTGCCTTCAAGCTTTGGGTTGGTTACAAATTAAAGAGAGAAGAAAAACAATGCTAACAGTCAAGGTCTTTGAGGTATTTGTTAATGTAAGTATGTCATTATTATCTTAGAGTTAACCTTGATGACAGTATCACTTCTTACTAATGTCAAAGGGGCAACATTTTTTAAAAACTGTTTTTCTGCTAGGGTGCTTGCATGGATCTTTCTTTTCTAGTCAGTCTCTGCTTGTCCATCATGGATATTTTAAAATCTAGATTATTATCAGACAAATAAATTCAACTTAACAATCAGTATTCTGTCAGAAGTGAAAATTCCAAACTAATTACGCTTAACTGGAAAACGTAGGAAGGTCTTTTTAATTTTATCCATTCTGTAGAGGTATCTCCTGTTTGTTTTTTGTTTGTTTGTTTGTTTGTTTGAGACAGTCTTGCTCTGTCGCTCAAGGCTGGAGTGCAGTGGCGCGATCTCGGCTCACTGCACCCTCCGCCTTCCGGGTTCACGCCATTATCCTCCCTCAGCCTCCTGAGTAGCTGGGACTACAGGTGCCCGTCACCACGCCCGGCTCATATTTTTGTATTTTTAGTAGAGACGGGGTTTCACCATGTTAGCCAGGATGGTCTCGATTTCCTGACCTCATGGTCCACCCGCCTTGGCCTCCCAAAGTGCTGGGATTACAGGCGTGAGCCACCGCGCCCGGCCAGGTATCTCCTGGTTTTATTTGCATCTGCCTGATGACTAATGACTTGGAGTGCTCTTTCATGTGCGTATTGGCTATTCACCTATCTTTCTTTATAAAGTATCTGTTCAAGTCTATGGCCAATTTTTTAATTGGGTTATTTGTCTTTTTATTATTGATGTATATATTCTTGGTATAAATTCCTTAGTAGATATATAATTTTTAACTTTATTTCTTTCCAGTTTGTGGCTTGCCTATTCATTTTCTTAGTAATCTCTTTCGATAAACAAGTTTTAAATTTCAGCTGAATGTAATTTATCAATATATCCATTTCTACAGTTTGTAAAGCTGCTGGGATGATGATTGGGATTGCAATGAACGTGATCAATTTGGGCCCATTTAACATCTTAATAATACTGAATTTTTCAAACCGTAAGCTGGTCTCTCTCTCCATATTTTAAGTCTTATTTCATCTCAGTAACATTTTTCAGGTTTTACTGTGGCACATATTTTGTTAATTTTATTCCTATATATTTTATAATTTTTGACACTAATAGAAAACATTTATCAGAGTATCAAAAAACCATAAATTACACTTAAAAATAATGTGTATTCTGCAACTGTTGAATATAGTAATTCTATCCAAGGCAACTAGATCTAGATCACAGATAGTCATATCGCTACTGGCAGCAAATTCATACGGGTCTGCAGCAACCTCAATCCTTGCCTCCTCAGAAGGAAGAATTCAACTAAGGGGCGCAAGGCAGGAAAAGAGACGGAAGCAAGTTTTATAGCAGGAGTGAGAGCTTCTTGGAAAGCTTTAGAGCAGGAACGAAAGAAAATAAAGTACACATGGAAGGGGGACAAGCGGGCACCTGGGGAGATGAAGTGCACGGCTGGACCGTTTGACTCGGGGCTTCATACGTGGGCCTGCTTCCGGGGTCTTGCATTCCTTCTCCCCTGATTCCTCCCTGCGGGTGGGCTGTCCACATGCCATGCTTGAGCCCACGCACCCAACTCCTGAGATCCTATCAGGAAGCTGCTGACCGGTTTTAGGTGTTTTCTATCTATTGGGAGCCTGCCTTTCCCTGGTGCCACCTGTGACCAATTATGACTTTAGAGAGACAGTTAACAACAGCCTAACCATCACTTGATGGTTGCCCGACACTCCCTGTGTATGTATAGGGGACGCCCTCTCCTGCCTTGCTCATACCTGACTAGCTACCCATTGTAACAGTATTAGTCTGCTTGCTCTGCCCACCTAGCCCAAAGTCCCACAGAATAGGTGTCTTAACAGAAATATGGCCAGGCATGGTGGCTCACGCCTGTAATCCCAGCACTTTGGGAGGCCAAGGCAGGCATATCTCCTGAGGTCAGGAGTTCGAGACCAGCCTGGCCAACATGACAAAACCCCCGTCTCTACTAAAAATACAAAAATTAGCCAGGCACGGTGGTGCATGCCTGTAATCTCAACTACTTGGGAGGCTGAGGCAGGAGAATTACTTGAACCCAGGAGGTAGAGGTGGGAGTAAGCCAAGATCAAGTCACTGCACTCCAGCCTGGACAACAGAACAAGACTCTGTCTCAAAAAAAAAAAGAAAAGAAAAGAAAAAAAAGAAAACCAGAAATGTATTTCCTCACAATTCTGGAGGCTAGAAGTCCAAGATCAAGGTGTAAGTGGCCTGGTTTCATTCTGAGGCCCCTGGCAATAGTCAATGGCCATCTCCTCCCTATGTCTTCACATCATCTTCCTTCTGTGCCTCGGTGCTATCCTAACCTCCTCTTCTTATGAAGACACCAGTCATCTTGAATTAAAACCCATTGTCATGGCTTTTTAACCTAATTACCTTTCTGAAGATCATATCTCCAAATACAGTCACATTCTGAGATACTGGGGGTAAAGGCTTCAACTTAGGAATTTGGGGGAGCACAGTTCAGCCCAGAACAGACGTGATATCTGCACAGTGTTGTACACACCTGGGAGGCACGTGTACAGCAGTGTACACAGAAACATCTGGAAGTACACAGGTGGGTGTATGGTGTGGGGGATGTCTTTGTGATATTTTGATACAAGAAACATGTAGAGTCATGTGTCACTTCACGACGGGGATACATTGTGAGAACTGCATCGCGAGGTGATTTCATTATTGTGTGAACACCAGAGAGTATAACTTACACGAATCTAGAGGGCACAGCCTACCACACACCTCGGCTGTACGGCCTAGCCTATTGTCCCCAGGCTATAAACCTGCTGTTACTATGCTGAATACTTTAGGCGATTATAACACAATGGTAAGGATTTATGATAGTATTATGATATTATTAGTGTTAGATATAAACATATCTAAACATACAAAAGATACAGTAAAAAAAAAAAAACAGTATAAAAGATTAAGAAAAAAATAATACATCTGTATAGGGTCCTTACCTGATGACGCCTGCAGGCCTGGAAGTTGCCCTGCATGAGGCAGGGAGTGGTGAGTGAATGCAAAGGCTTAGGACATTACTGGACACTACTGTAGACATTATAAACACCACACTTAGCATATACTAAATTTATTTATAAAATAAAGTAAACGTGCAATGATGTTATGTTGGCTACAGCATCACTAAGTGATAAGAATTTTCCAGCTCTATGATAATCTTATGTGACCATTGTTCTATACGGAGTTGGTCATTGATGGAAGCATTATTAGTCAGCATTTGACTGTATTTGATCTTTGTCCCTGGTAGCACAGCTCATAAAACTTGCAATATCTGAGTAATGGAGTAAGAGGAGCGTCTTCTGTTATTCAGCATAAGCCACTTTCAACTCTACCTGAGTTTATGCTAATGAGGCGGGGGCTGGTTGTCAGAGGAACCCACCATATATTAGAGGGTTGCAACGTTCCCTCCCACCCTGGAAAAGGGAGAGAGGCTGGGGATTGAGTTCATTCACTGATAGCCAGTGATTTCATCAATGCTGCCCACATAATGGAATATAATAATCATCTAGATGGCATAGCACATGATAAAACCCTACAAAAACCCTCCTCAAGGGGGTTCAGAGAACTTCCAAGTTGCTGAACACGTTGAGGTGCTGGGAGGGTGTGCACCTGGATCAAGCGTGGAAAAATCCGTGCCCCTTCCCATACCCTGCCCCACGTGTCTCTTCCACGTGGCTGTTCCTGAGTTGTATTCTTTTATGACAAACCAGTCATTTAGTAAGTGAACTGTTTGTCCCAAGTTCTGTGTATGAGCCATTCTAGCAAATGACATAGTGTCAGGATTGAGTTACATTGTAGGACACCCAGCCAGTGTCTGCCAAGAATAGAAAATTGTTTGGTATGGAAAAGCCCACACGTCTGGTGTCAGAAGCGTAGGGTGTAGCGGGACCAGGGGTTTTATTTTACTGTTCAAGTGGATCTTTTGCCCCTCCCTTTTAAACACAAGAGCCTCATTCCTCCCCTTCCGGTCAACTGAACTACCCTCAAAGTGCTCCCCAAGGAATGCCTCAGGCATGGCAAGCCTCAGCAAAACCAGCAGAGGGGCTCAAGTTATCTGGGTGGACTGTCTACACTGTCAATACCCAGCTTTATTCTCATAGTGTAGACCTGAATCAAGAACACAAGAAAGCGGGGCGTATTGGAGGGAAAGGCCCCATAAGCTGTGTATTTTGGCGTCCTAATTCTCAAAGGCTAAATTCTAGGGTTCCTGTCACCTGTGGTCCTGCTCATTCCAGATGTTCAGAATGTTCCTCTTGTTAGTGTCTGAGGATCTTAGAAGAGGGGGTAGAATTTGGAGTCAAGCCCTACAGAAACCCAGCAGAATCTACGTCACATGTGGTATCAGCCAAGAGCTGAGTGGACTCTATTTCCCAAGAGCTTGAACCACATGGGGTCGTGGCCCAGATAAACAGCCTTTTGAGTTTGAACAAATGCGGCCAGCTGGTTGGTTCTTGGGGGCTTAGATATAAGCGGAGAGGTGCACTCTGTGGGGACAGGGGGCTCTCACTGGTTTTAATTAACTGGCTTTGAGTACATGACAGAGGTTTTTACAAGTTCACGGCTGACATCACTCAATTTCTGCCTTCAGATTTTGAATCTAAGCCAGCAGTTCGGTGGTTGCTCAATAGCATCAAGAACTGCTTAAATGTAAGTCAAGGGCACTGTCAGGCTTACATTTTGATTCTTTTAACTTTTCAAGTATTTAAGGCAAAAAGCGATTGTCTTTCCGTTCCTACTGGGCATTTTCTAAGGGGCCCTGGGCGTCTATTTCCTGCCCAGCTCCCTGTCCTGACACAGAGGGGCATCCTAGGGCTGCCCTGGAAAGCCGTTCTCCCGGCTCTCTGCTCTGTTTGCTTTGGAGTTTTATCAAGGAACAGCAGGATGGGAGGCTCTGCTGGATGCTGGCGATGTGAGGCACATCCCCCTGACCTTTCTTCCAGCCAAATAGCTCTGATAAGTGGGCAGACCTTGAGCCTAGAGACCCACAGACACACTTGGACGATTCCTACAGAAATCAGTGAGGCAGTCTCCTCCCAGGGGCTCGGCGCCTGGCTCCAGAGGCGAGGCAGCTGGCCCGGACGCTGACTGCCCAGTGCCACAGACATGGCCAACGGGACCAACGCCTCTACCCCATACTACAGCTATGAATACTACCTGGACTATCTGGACCTCATTCCCGTAGACGAGAAGAAGCTGAAAGCCCACAAACGTAAGTCTAAACTAAGGAATCCGGCCCAACAGAGGCTGGGGGTCGGTCCAAATGACTGGCCACTCCCAGCTTTCTCTGCATTCACTTATTAACTCTAGTAGACATCACGGGAAAGCAGCAATATGGCTAGTTCACTTGTAGATATAAATGAATGGGGCCGGGAGAGAAATTGTATCTGTTAACTTCTGTAATAAGCTTGGAATTAACCTACTAAGTCACGAAGACACTTTGGAAGCAGAATTTTTATTTTTATTTTATTTTATTTTGGAGATAGGGTCTAGCTCTGTTGCTTAGGCTGGAGTGCAGTGGTGTGACCATAGCTCACTGCAGCCTTGACCACTCTGGGTCAATTAATCCTCCTACCTCAGCCTCCCAAGTAACTGAGACTACAGGCATATGCCACCACGCCTGGTTAATTTTGTGTATTTTTTGTAGAGACATGTTATGTTACCCAGGCTGGTCTGGAACTCCTGGCCCCAAGTGATCCCCCCATCTCGGCTTCCCAAAGTGCTGGGATTACAGGTGTGAGCCACTGCACCTGGCCAGAGTATTCTTTTAAAGACAGATTTCTTGTTTAATTTGTTTGGGGCTCCAATAAGCTGAGCGAGTTTCCTCAAATTAGAGATTTACCTTTTCCATTGTCTGTATTTAGATTTGGGACAGTTATTCTCTCCATCCCTAAGATGCAGGATTTAATAATTTTTACTAAAATGCCAACATACATTTAATCGTCATGGTCTCAGCAAGGACAAACCAGCATGACTTTGCTTCTTTTTGCTCATCTGCCCTCGGGTTCCTTATCTCTTGGCTAACATGGCATGTGTGGATAATCTTCTCTGAGGAGTCCAGTTACCCGATCACAATGACAAATTAGATGAGGAAGTGAGCACGAGAAACAAAACAAAAACAAAGCCTGGAAAGATCGAGTCTCAGCCCTGGAAACCCATGCATTACCTATCCCATAGGAAGTCTTGGCTTCCTTGGGTTTTCACTCACTATAATCACATACTGTCCGTCAAACAGTAAATGCAGGGCTGGGTGCCGTTGCTCACACCTGGAATCCCACCAACTAGAGAGGATCACTTGACGCCAGGAGTTCGAGGCCAGCCCGGGCAACATAGTGAGACCCCCATCTCCACACACACACACACAGAAAAAGTAAACACAGGTCAGGCACGGTGGCTCATGCTGGTAATCCCAGCACTTTGGGAGGCCGAGGCGGGTGGATCACTTGAGGTCAGGAGTTTGAGACCAGCCTGGCCAACATGGTGAAACGCTATCTCTACTAAAAACACAAAAATTAGCTGGGTGTGTTGACACATGCCTGTAATCCCAGCTACTTGGGAGACTGAGGCACAAGAATTGCTTGAACCCAGGAGGTGGAGGTTGCAGTGAGATGAGGTCACACCACTGCATTCCAACCTGGGCAACACAGCAAGACTCCATCTCAAATAATGATAATAATAATAATAATAATAATAATGTTTTTGCTTCCAAAGTATCTTCATTTCTGAGGAGGTGAATTCCAAATTTATGACAGAAGATAACAGACACCATTTCACCTCTAAGCCCCTCAGGGTGTCAGGGGTCCTTGACACCCACAGAGAGAGATACTTCTTGGGGTCTTTTTTATTCCTATTTGTGTCACAGTATCCCAGTCTTTATGTTTTATTTGAATGTAATTTCTATTTTCTCTAGAAGAGAAGTTTGGGGCTAGACAAAACTCCCCCTACTTCCCATAACACACATAAGAATGTTTAAACTCCAAATAGGTGGTTGTTGAGTTTTTTTCTAGGGAACCCACCAGGAGGCAGGGGCTAGGCAGAGGCCAGGCACGTGGACTGCTGAGCCAGTCGGCTGGATTCACATCTTGGCTCTGTCACGTCCTGGCCATGTTCCCCTGGGCAGGTCCGTTACCCAGGCTAGCCAGATTCAAGCAGAGAGAATGAGAGCCCCCCTCTCAATGGGAGAACTGTTGAAAATATGAGGTGGTCTTTAATTCACCATAAACAAGAAAAATGTGGCAGATGGTAATATGTGCTCCATACAGAAAAATAAAACTGGGCTGGGCACGGTGGCTCATGCCTGTAATCCCAGCACTTTGGGAGACCGAGGTGGGTGGATCACGCCTGAGGTCAGGTGTTTGAGACCAGCCTGGCCAACATGGTGAAACCCCATCTCTACTAAAAATATAAAAACTTAGCTGGGCATGGTGGTGGGTGCCTGTAATTCCATCTACTTGGGAAGCTGAGGCAGGAGAATTGCTTGAACTGGGAGGCAGAGGCTGCAGTGAGCTGAGATCGCACCATTGCACTCCAGCCTGGGCAACAAGAGCAAAACTCTGTCTCAGAAAAGTAAAAAATAAAACTAGAGGGGGCAGCTAGGGAGAGCAGGGACCCAAGGAAAGATTGCCACTGTGAACAGGGCACCAGTGAAGGCCTTCCCAGGGTCCCTGGGAGGAGGTGAGCCATCACAATGGCGCCTGGAGGAGGTCTCAGAAGAAGCCTCCCATGCAGCAGGAATAGCAGGGCAAGGGCTCCAGGGCAGGCGAGCACCTGGCATTTTCAAGGAACAACAAAGAAGTTGCAGTGACTCTCTCTCCCTCCCCTCCCCTCCCCTCCCCTCCCCTCTCTTCCCTTCCCTTCCCTTTTTGTTTGTTTTGTTGAGATGGAGTCTATCTCTGTCGCCCAGGCTGGAGTGCAGTGGCACGATCTCAGCTCACTGCAACCTCCGCTTCCTGGGTTCAAGCGATTCTCCTGCCTCAGCCTCCTCAGTAGCTGGGATTACAGGTGCCTGCCACCGCACCAGCTAAGTTTTGCATTTTTAGTAGAGACAGGGTTTCACAGAGTTGGCCAGGCTGGTCTTGCACTCCTGACATTGTGATCCGCCTGCCTTGGCCTCCCAAAGTGCTGGGATTACAAGCATGAGCCACCGTGCCCAGCCAACTCTTTTCTTATATTTTTGGAAACTGTTCTGAAAATATCTTTTTTCTTTTAAAATGGAAACGAGTTTATTATTTCATCATTTAATGCAATTTATCAGTCAATAAGGAAAAGAACAAAAGAGTATAGGCAAGGGTATGAAACGACAGTAGCCACAGGGAAAACTCAAATGGCCCACAGAGAGAAAAAATGTCCAGCTTCACAAGTGGCCTGGGAAATGCATGAGGAGAGAGTCATGAGAGAGCACTCCACAACCACGGGATTAGCAAAAATTGCAGGATGGATATTCAGCCAGGACAACATAGGAAGACCCTGTCTCCACGAATGAATGAATGAATGAATGAATGAATGAACAATTAGCTGGGTGTGGTGGCATGTGCCTGTGGTCCCAGCTATACAGGAGGCTGAGGCAGGAGGATTGCTTGAGACCAGGAAGTCAAGGCTGCCTTGCAAACCTAGCTAGTGGCACTGGTTCTTTCCCCGCCTCATAGCTTCACCACTCACTCTTAAATTTGAAGAAATATCTGAGTCACTTTAGTTACCAAAGCAAATGTCCAGTCCCATGAAATACATTTTTAAAATGTTTAAACACAAACCATCCTTGAATTCCACTCAAATTTAGAGCTTCCTATTTCCCCAGCATGGTGAAATGGATGCTTTTCCTTTATTAGATCTGCCAGCTCCTTTCTCTGTTTTCAGACCAGCCCCACCTGGAGTTGCTCCACCATCCCTTTAGCCTGCTCCAGGCTCTGAGCCTACCCTCCCCTGAGGCCCTCTAATGTGTCTTGCACTGCACACAGCTTTCCCTCTGACACCAGGATGGCAGCCCCCTGTCTACTCTGCTGCCACCAACTGCTGAGCCTCTTCCTCTGGAGATTTTCTGGAGCACATGCCAGACTCTAGCCTGACTCAAGGTCAGGGAAGTGCCTCTGATATGGTTTAGGTCTGTATTCCCACTCAAATCTCATGTCAAATTGCAACCCCCAATGTTGGGGGTGGGGTCTGGTGGGAGGCGATTGGATCATGAGGACAGATCTCCTCCTTGATGCTGCTCTTGTGATAGTGAGTTGCTGCTTATGAGATTTGGTTGTTTAAACGTGTATGACGCCCCCCCCACCGCTTCCTCCTGCTCTGGCCATGTGAAGATGTGCCTGCTTCCCCTTTGCCTTCTGCCATGACTGCAACTTTCCTGAGACTCCTCAGCCATGCTTCCTGTACAGCCTGCAGAACTGTGAGTCAGTTAAGCCTCTTTTCTTCATAAATTACCCAGTCTCAGGTATTTCTTTATAGCAGTGCAAGAATGCACTAATGCAGCTTCCCGCCCTCTCCAACAGAGTAAGAGTTGTGGGAGACTCCACACACTGTTCTATCATCTCTAAAAAAAAATTATTCAGACCCAAGCATCATGAAATCCAACTTTAAGTAGTTGGCACCTGCCTTAGTCTGCTCAAGCCAATATAACAAAATACCATAGACTGGGTGGTTTAAAAAAAAGAAATTTATTTTCATACAGTTATAGAGCCTGGAAGTCCAAGATCAAGATGGCGGCAGATTCAGTGTCTGGTGAGAGCTCCCTTCCTGGCTTGAAAATAGATGGCCACCTTCTTGCTGTGTCCTCTCATGGCCTTTCCTCAGTGGGCACAGTGGGGGTGGTGCAAATACATTCTGTGTCTTGTCCTCTTCTTAGAAGGACACTAATCCCACTATGGGAGCACCACTCTTATAATGTCATCTAAATTTCATTAGATGAGGACCCACTTCCAAATGCTGTCACAATGGGGATTAGGGATTCAACATATGAATTTTGGGAGGACACAACATTCTGACAATAACACCATCTTTGGATTGGATTTCAGTCTTGGGTTTCAGCTAAAGTAGCCAGAGTGAGTCTACTATTCATATTGGATAGATAGATAGAGATACAGGATCTCACTGTATTGTTTTGTACTCTGTTCATATTGACCTCATAATATTTTGTTTTCCCATGTCCTTAAATACTCTTTCACAAAGACTTTGCATGATGTTATAGAAATTTGTATCTTTGAACATACAGGGCGT